ATTCAGCTGCATACATGCCTCAACTGGTGATCTACAATCCCACAATCTACCTCTACTGAGTTTTTTAAGGACACTTCAACTGCATGATCCCCAGTCAAAACTTCATCGTCTTTGCTGCTTCTCTCTAATTCAGTTTCCCTTCTAATTTGACTTGGGTCAGAACCCACTACATTTCTTCCATTACTTATCATTAGATGGTTTGTCTCCATTCCAGTCTGCAGAGCCAATTATAAAAAAAATTAGAGATAAGGTGATACTGGTTCATTATATAGGGTAATATAGTATAAGAAGTTGATTATCAAAGACTGCGCCAAAAAAATTCAGGAAAAATATATAACTAAGCAGCAAACCGTGCAATTTATCAAGAATAACAACATTTCCTTTTAGAGAGTGGAGCCTCCTTAAACACAGGAAAATTTCTAATTTCGTTCTAGTAACTTCAACAATTTTCTAATCAGGTCTCTTTACTTTCAATTTTCTAAAGTCCTACTTATTCAAAATGTCTAATCAAGTCCCTCTGATACAATGTCCAACGAAATCTAGATAACAGGGCAGTCAAAAGATGCCAGATTGTAACGTGAATTAGATATTGCTTAAATAAATACCCACTGTGAATAGTGAATTGAACGGAGCATAAAAAAACAAATTAACAGAATTAATCCATTCGCTATCTACGGTCCACAGTAGTTGTCCACATAGGCAATATTTGATTCACGTTACACTCTTGCTTCCTTTGACGGCTGCGTCAATTGGATTTGGTTAGAATTTGTGTCCAAGGGACTTGATTAGACATGCATAAGTCGAGGACTTGATTAGAAAAATTGAAAGTAAGGGACCTGAACAGAAAAGTAGTGAAAGTAAAAAGACAAAAAGTACAATTTTTCTTACAGTAGAGTATCAATAATGCATTCCAAACATTTTGATTGAAGATTTCCATAAGCAAGAGATCTTCAAAAGAAATTTAAAGACGGCATTTCCCCATGACTGAAAAAAAACATAGAAACATTCAAATTAAAATTGCAATCGGCATTACGAGGGGACAAAGATGAAAAGGGCAGAACAGTAATGTGATATTTCAAGGACCTACTAGGCGTTGACTGGCTCTGAGTTCTGAACTTAAGCAGAATCAAAAACTTACACCCATATTCTTTGTGAATGTATTCTGAGTCATCCTAGTTAGAGGCGGATTTTGTTTTGAAAGAGAACACGCGTTTACCACTCTGCCTGTCCTCTCAGGATGATCAGCAACAGTAATACCTGGATGACAACCGAAGTAATTCAAGGGTCAGTAGATCTCATATAAGGATCTTGTACATTTTAAAAACAAACAACCTTTACCACACCGTGTAGGTTAGCTGAGGCCATCGGCACCCTTTCACTATCTTGTATTTCACATCTAGTGACACTCGGTTCAGTCATATTCGTGGAATTTGCTTTTGGACCATGGTCAACCTTGTCCATCTTGCTGGTTTCCAACAACAGATCCTTTGGAGGTGGGCACAATTTAGCACCAGTTGTCGCTTGCTCGACACATCGCTGGGCATAAGAAGATACACCAGCCTTCAACCTTTTACGAGGGGGCTCTTTTGTATCTAATTGTGGGAAGTCTACAGAACGTGGGAGGTCTGCAGAGGTCGTGACGCTTATACCACCTGAATTCCTGTTTAGGTTAAGACTATAACTATTTTTAAAAGAACCTAAAACCGGATGCCTATTTTGATGAGCTAACTTAAGCTTCAGCTCTGTTTCCCGTAAAGCAATCTGCTGCCGCAAGTCCTGAAGTTCAAGATTTCTTGAGCCTATGACATAATCAGATCCATGCTCCTGGCATTCTGATTTTTGGTTGAGCATACTCAAACTCCTACCTGCACTTCCTTGCCCAATTGAAGGTGCAGAACCAATCCCGTTGTTTGCTCCCTGGTTCTTCGTCTTTGGATGTATAAATGTACGACTGGAAGGCAATCTTTTGGACATCATTTGTTTTACGTCTCGAGTAGGGTATCCCAACTTCTTCGATGTTTTCCGTGCCAGAATAGGTGGCTTCTGATTTCCATTCATCCTAACTGCTTTCGGTTTATCTTCCGACCTCTTATCCTGTCTGCTCTCATCGGAATCACTGCTGCTCTCATCATCAGAGAAGCTTATAACAAGATTGCTATTGGGCCCCAAGGAACCACCAGTTCCAGATCTACCAGACCTATGTCCAGCTTGATTCATTCCAAGACTCTTCTCATGTTTGGTTTGTATAGATGGTCTGGTTGGAAACTCAATTGAGATTGCAGGAGGACCAGCGGCATCAACTTTCACTGTTACATAATTAATGGTCAATAGAAAAACCTCATGAAAGAAAAAAAAAGATCAAGTAAAGGTTCAGACAAAACACGAGAGTCAGAAGAGCAGAAGTGTTAAGCATCTCCAGGAAATGTGCAAGTACACACTTATTTTGAAAGACATTGATACCAGACAGCAACCCTGAGATATTCTATTCTAAATAAAACAAGGAGGACAAAGAAAAATAAGAAGCCTTCTTGATTTTAAGGCAATGTAAGTCTATTTAAACAGACACATTCAAGTTATGCTGCTGATTCAAAGAACCTGTAAGTTTATGGATTTGATGAGCAGAGGTTTTAAGTTGCTGCACCAGGTCCAATGCATTTATCAGCCAATAACAATTGCATTTCTCCAAAAAAAATTTAAGCTCAATTAATTGGTGGACAATTCAAAGATCATAGTACTCACTATTCATTTGTATTCATATTCCCTTATTAATATCCAAGTCAAACTTGGAGCCAAAAAAATCCCATACATCATACTTCAACCAGCAAATGAGTCATTGTACAACAAAACATCCCTCCATCACATATAACAACACTTACCACGGTTGCCTTGAGCAATTTCACTTGCAGAGAGAGCCTGATGGCTCCTAGCAGAAAGAAGAGCTCCAGTATCCAACTGTGCGGCAGTAGAATCGGCAGGTTCCTGAGCAGCATGCGTAACGGATCTCAAAAAAACTGCTAAAAAGAACAAGAGGCGGATATTCTCAAGAAGAGAAACTGCGGATAAAAGCAAGGTTCTTAGTCATCAGTCAGCTTTTCAATCCAAAAGAGACATCAGTTATCTTTTCTCTTTAAAAGATAAAAGAGGCTCCCATACATTGGCAAGTGACCTTAGAGATCATTTATAGGCTTGAGACCACGTGGATCATGTGACGGTCAATTTCGGGTACGTGCCATAGTTTGTGCATACCAAAGTTTGAGGCCCTTTTTTTTTCTCTGGAAATCATCCTGATTCAAGCAAGTTTCCTAGGGTTGATTGCTTAGCCATTGTGCTACGTGGCTTTACACATGGGAGACTTCTAGAAAGACTCTTGTAACTCTTCCCACACTCACAAAGCCAAGACGATGAGCGAGAGCTCCCCCATTTCGATTTGACTACATCCTGCGACTTTGCCATCCACCGAAAACCCAGCAATGTTTTCACCTTCAATTCCCTTTTACTAAATTTCTTTTCGAGGAACTTTGCCTCACAGTATGCGTATCTTCGCAATGGCTAAGTTACAAAACACAAACCCTAAGGCAGAGGCCTACGTAAGCGCACTACAAACCACGGATTACACGATCAATTCACCAGTTGGAGGGGAACGAGGCGTGAGCAGGACGATCCATTCTCATCAAGCTACCTATATACCAAACGACAATCGCAAAACATACTCCGGATCAGCCGTAACCGCGGCTCGCGATCCTCTGAACACCACGAAGCACTGAAAACCGCGTCCAGTGCAGAACCTCTAACCGCGTAACAACAGACAGAATCGAAGCACTCGAGCGAATGCGAAATGCAAGCAGAGGACACGAAGATCGGACGAGGTTTGAGGAGGAGGAAGAAGAAGATGAATACGTCGTCGTCGTCGTCGCCGCCGGATGAGGAGACCTCGCCTTCTTCTCTGGCTTTGGGAGGTTTGGGGTTGAGCTGGGAGGTCGGTGCAGCAATCGGAGGAGCTGATTGCGCCGGCGTCGTCGTCGTCGTCGTGGAGCTCGGTTCCGCCATTCTCTCTCTCTCTCTCTCTCTCGCTCACTCCTGCGAAAAGGAAATGAAATGACGAGAGAAGTCGCGGAATCCAAGAACAAAAGAAGCCGGAGATGATCCCGAGTCCAATTTCCAAAAATGACCTCGGCTTGGCCCTTGTTTTACGGTGCGCATGCAAGAAGCTGATATAAGCAAATTCAGTAGAATTTATGAAATTGTACCGCGTCCTTTCCACGTGTGTGAAGTGTGATTATTTAATTAATCGAATTGAATTTGACCAAAAAAAGTTAAATGAATTTAATGGGTTTTGTTATTAAAATCTATTTGGATTGAAGTATTACTTGTCTCTCGACCCAAAAAAAAAGTACTGCTTTGTTAAATGAGAGAGTAGTGTTCCGACCAAAAAAATGAGAGAATAGTGAATAGTTTTAAGGCTTATTTGTTTAGTGTGAGTATTTTTTCTACTTTCACGACAGAATTTAAAACATCAGATAAACTTCAAATTTTACGAAAAAAAAATACAAATGAATTTACGTGTCAATATTTGTATATTTCGAAAGTTTTAAGTGTTTAAAAATAATAGAGGCGAAATATGTATATGTTGGAAGATTTAGATTCAATAAAAAAAGTAAATAAGCATTGGAAGACGAGGGCAATAGCGGAACAAACCTTTTAAACCTTTTTGTTATTTAGACTTTCTGGTTGAATACGACACAAAAACCAATATGGAGGCAAAAAAAAAAACAAAAGTAACCGCGGGAGGGCCGGACGCGTGACAGGACACGTGTCGGGCCTTCATTGGCCCGACGTCCCCCCCGAAACGACATTCTCGACTCCGCCATCTTCCCTCCCTCCCTCCCTCCCTCCTCGATCACTGCAGAATAACTTCACCCCTTCCATGCATTTCGCATCCGCAGAACGAAAGCACAAAAAGGATCGAGCAGCAGCAGCAACCCCCTTCCCGCATCCTCCCGTCCGACCGAGCGAAGATGCCCGCTTCCCTGGACATGAGCCTCGACGAGATCATCCGGCGCAAGGAGCGGCCCGAACCGCGCGGCGCCCCGGGCCCGCTCCGCCGCCGGCCGAACCGCGGCCCTGGCCCGCTCCGCCGCCGGCCGAACCGCGGCCCTGGCCCGCTCCGATCGGCCCCGTACTTCCCTCCTCCGATGCACCGCCTGAGTTCTTCTTCAGCGGTGCGTTTCACACTGACCGCAGCGTCGTGTTTCTTTTTCGTGTTACTCCTGTTTTCCGTCGAGCGACCGAGGTATCGAACGTTTGCGGATGTCGTCGTACTGGTCGGACTTTTGGTGACGAGCGGTCTTTAGCTTTTCGCGCGAGAATATAGTTTTGCGAAGCGGAGAGAGCTCGATTCCCGCTGTTGTTTCGGTGTTCGTAGCTCCGTACGTCATGCAAAGCGGCTCTTCTAAGGTCGAGGAGTTGGTTTGTCGTCCTCGTTTGTTGGCTTTAACTTTGTTTTAGCGTAGCCTGTGATTTTGTACATTAAGCCCCTGTAGTTTGAAAGTGGAAACGAGATCTCAGTGGTTTCTCGCACTTCTTTCGGATGGTGAATGGATGCAGCCGAGGGCGCCGGTCATGGCGCCGATCTGGCGGCAAGAGGAGGGGCCGTTCGGCGGAACATCCGAGCCCGAGGCAGGCACGAAGCTGTATATATCGAACTTGGATTACGACGTCACCAATGAGGATATAATGGTAATGATTTTGTGCGGTTGTCTGTCTGTGTTTTTGCTGGAATTATTCTCCGCTACGTTTGATTTGCTCGAGTTGGTAGACATCGTCTGGAAAACATAGGGCGGGCATGGAGGGAAACTCATACCTTGGTCTCTGCAGTTACTGTTTTCAGATGTTGGGGATATCGAAAGATACGGAATCCACTATGATCGAAGTGGGAGATCCAAGGTATTTCACTTTCGAAATACTTAGATGAACTACTAAATATTGTTAGAGTGATCCTCATGGGACCAACATCTCTGTCCTTCCATATGTAACTATCTCAAAACCAAAGACTTTCTGTCGAATTGCTGTTTTGAGCAAGTCTTTTTTAAACGAAGGGCTGCCATGACACTCTTCAAGTTTGGAATTTGGATGTAGTTGGTTTAACTAATGGAATCATGAATCATCATCATTTGGAAATTGTCATGGGGTGAAGATGATGAGGCTTAGGCAAAGCTTAAGTGGAAGTCCAAACCTCGAGTATGTCATGTCTTTTAACTGGAGATTGCTATTGTAGGGAACTGCAGAAGTTGTTTTCTCACGCCATTCAGATGCTTTAGCGGCTATCAAGAGATACAACAATGTCCGACTTGATGGGAAGCCGATGAAAATCGAGATTGTCGGACTGAGTCTCTTTCCTCCTGCTCCTCTGCTTCCCCTTCCTCTTCTGAATAGCAGTGTTGGAAGATTTCGGACTGCGTTTGCAAGGTATTGAACTTTCTGTTGTCTTCAAGAGCTTCGACAGAAACATTGGCAGGAACATGTTGCCCATCCTTTTCAGAATCTGATATATTCTGACCTCATGCCATTTTTTATCTAATAGCGATGGATGCCGGCATTCACTTGCTATGTTTTTGTATATACAAGGAAAAGGGATTGGAAGTTTGATCAATCTGTCTGAGCCTTAATGACAGGGAATTAGGGTATTGATGCTTGCTTGTGGACAACAGATTGTGAATGTCTGAACTAATCTACTATTAGAAAATATGCCTCTTTCATTTGCTCGAAGCTAGCTTCCTAGATCATGTATTTGCTGGTTGTAGAAAAGGAGAATGTTACGTGGATACACCTTTGGTGGCATGTAGTTTGGGGAATTTCGATGAGTGCCTTGAATGTCCTCTTATCTTCTTGCTGCGAGGACAGCTCGTTTGACGATCTAGTGTGCATTTTGTTGTAATTTTTGTACCTGAAACTTGCCCCTCAACCCCAGTTTAATGTGCTTTCTGATGCTAATGTTGGCCCAATTCCAAAAAAAACCCTCAACTTTATACTTTGTCCCAATTATATTCTGAACTTTTTTTGTCTCAAGAAAAATCACAAACTTTTATCCAAGTCCCAAATCTACCCAACCGTTACAAATCTGTCCATTTAACGTCACAAAAAAAAAAAAAAAAAAAAAAAAACAGAGAACCGGGAAGGAGCGGCGGCCAAGCCTTCGCCGGTGACCGCCGCCACAGCCGCCGGGAAGGAGCGGCGGCCCTCGCCTGGGCCTTCCCGAGGGCCGGCGACCCTCGCCGGCCCGGGCGAGTCGCCGGCGAGGGCGTGCGATCCCGATCCGAGGAGGGCGCGACCCTCGCCCCGAGATCGGGGCCGCACGCCCTCGCCGGCGACTCGCCCGGGCCGGGACGTCGCCGGCCCTCGGGAAGGCCCAGGCGAGGGCCGCCGCTCCTTCCTGACGGCTGTGGCGGCGGCCACCGGCGAAGGCTTGGCCGCCGCTCCTTCCCGGTTCTCTGTTTTTTTTTTTTTGTGACGTTAAATGGACGGATTTGTAACGGTTGGGTAGATTTGGGACTTGGATAAAAGTTTGTAGTTTTTATTGAGACAAAAAAAAGTTCAGGATATAATTGGGACAAAGTATAAAGTTGAGGGTTTTTTTTGGAATTGGGCCTGCTAATGTTTTACAGTGGACAAGGTTCTGGTGCTGAGAAACCGTATCAGGGTGGCAGCAGCCAAGGACCACCAAGAGTTGGTGGACCAGGAAAAGCTATTCTTCAAAAACCGTCTGCCAAAGACCTTGATGCCGAGTTGGACAGATACCATTTTGAAGCCAGGCAGTCATCATAAACAGCACAAATTACTTTTTAGGATACTAATCTCATCGATATGCAGCTTTTGCACGCGGTATTCACTTTTTTGAGACAAAACTAAGCATGGTAGGATATTGTCCACTGTACCTGGGGTGGTGTGTCGTTCTTTTTTGGATGCTCCAGCTCTACCTTTTAAACCATAGTAAATTTTTGGCTCATAAGTCAATAGGTAATTCCCCAAATTGTGCGTATCGGAGCATCTTTTGGCAGCTTATTTCTTTTCTAAGTTTGGAATAGCTATAGTACTGTTGGCAAAGAATCGGCGTTTGAATTGAAGCCAATTTATATTAGTTTCTATGTTACCCTTTTAATTCAGATGCGAATGGCTAGCATCATCCTTCATTGCATATCTTATAAGGTCCTGATGATTACGATTGATCCCTTTAGGCCATTGTTTTTTGCTGGATATACACTGTCACTGCAATCATGCATGGCAACGTCACATCACGATTCGAGGCTAATTGCCTTTGCATCGTATGATTGTACCACAGGTTGGTATTCTACAGTATAATGATACTCTTGCTTTCACGCTGATTTCGGTCTCGTCATCAGGCACATGACGAAAATAGCACCACCTCGATATAATAATCGATTGTGATCATGTTGTGTTACGGACCCTGCATGTTACTTTTCTCTAGCTAATTTCATGTAAATTAAAGTTTTGCAAATCTAGACGACACTTGATGAGAGTCCAATTTGCTGGGTGATTTCCCTGGTTCAAACAAAACTTTCTGCTTTCATTACTTCAAAATTTCATTCACACATGGGCAAACTCTCTCAACCAATTAATTTTACAACAACCGCAAATTAGTTTGAAGCAGCCAAAACAGGGGAAGAGGCCATAACCACATAAAAGAAAAGAACAAATATGTACAACAGTCCAAAATAATTAATGAACAGATCAAGAACCAGACTAGGCAGACATTGAAGATGCCCCTAATACTTAGCATCCTCAATGGCGCCTTCTTCAGAGCCCTTGTATCGCAAATCAAGTAGTTGCCGGTCCTACACATACAGAAGGTACAAAATCACGGTCCTCTTCATCGACAAGACCTCGCATCGACTTCTCAAGTCAATTCGAGAACTTGAGAAACTATTATTGCTCATGTAGATGGTCATATCATCGTATCCACATTGCTGAGATGCTACAGAGGCTGCAAAAATCTGAACAAGGAAACAAAAAGAATTCTTCCAGAGGTCCATCAAACTTCTCCTGCATGTACAATGGACGCCCGAACTGCTTCAAAACATTAAGAAAAAACACAAACAAAAAGCCATCTCAAAGCCAAAAATGTGAAAAAAAATGATGCAAGCTATTATACACTCGAAGCAAGCACAGACTCTCCCATAGCTCCGTGGGCCTCACGTATATGAGCCTGACTATCGCATAGGAGAGCCCGTCCCGCTGAGAATGTGTCTCAACGATGGCAAAGCAATATTATGAATGTCCCGGTAACTTGATGCTCCTAGTACAAGACAATTACAGAGGAGAAACTATCACTTTGGACCCTAATTCACTCCAAACAAAGCCAGGATATATCTTCCTAAAACAGTGAAGGAAACTAGTCTTCCCAGAACAACATATATACATATATAGGAATTTGATTAGTTTACCAGTGTCACGGCCAAGCACACTCAGAAGCTACAATAGAAATGAGTGGAGAAAGGACAAAATGGCCAAGATGAGTACCCGAGGGTATGTTCGATCCCCTGAACTTCGGGAGGCGAACATGATCTGATGTGAGTCAGCATACTAATAGTATCCTCCAGGGACTGCACGGTGCAACAACCTGGAAAACCTCAAGTTCTGAGCTGTCAGCTTTACATCACAGATTTCCCGAGATAAGTTTTTCCAATGATAGCTAGCCCTACACATGTACAACCAGGAGGAGTAATGTTTCGTAAGCATGCACTCCATCACTCCACTTCTGCATCCGGAAAAACATCAAGGATGATGATGGCTCATCCCAGAGAATGTATCATACCCCAGTGAATTTTCTAACTCCGTCCCATACCATAGCTCCAAAATCAACTTTGAAACATATCCCTTTCTGGGGAAGACTCAAACTTATTCTGATCCACAATGTTCGTGGGAGAAGGTCCCCATTTCCATTTCCAGATCATTTTGAGGGAACTTAAGCTTTGCTTATCAGGATGTGAACAGTATGTGCATTAGGTCTCAACTTTTCTCTCATAATGACTAACTTGATGTTACAACTCAACCCCAAGATCGTTTGCCAACTGAAGTATGCCACGCATCTGAAGATATGGATTCTCCAACAACTTCTCATTGTTGCTCTGCAAAGCAGCAATAAAACCCCAACAAGTGAGAAGCAAACTCCCCATACGAAATAGGTCAAGCATACATCTTACAAGTCCAATAAGAAATGGAAGGACAAGTGGTACCCTGTCCTCTAAACTAACATCAGGTTTATAGGATTTTGGTTTTCCATAATATCTCCTCAAATGTAACTCGTTAAAGCCTATTTGCAACAACATTATCCAAACTACTGAGGTGCATTATCAAAATGACATGTTAAAACCATCCGTGAGTTTAGTCTATTTTTGGTACCGTTCCTTTTCTAGATCTGCTTATAGGATGACTGTCAAACTTTCTCTAAACTGTCTACAGGATAAATGGTGTGTTGTCATAAAACAATTATTAGCTTAATTACTGTGAGTTTGTGAGTAACACTAACATGCAGACAAACCATCACTACATGCCTTACCTGCTGAGCTTTAAAAACAAGATTCTGAAGCATGTGTTGATACTTCTCAGGTTTCTCCGTCATCATCCTCTGCATATGTCATAACATGAAAATCAGCAGATCTCCAAGAAAACGAGAATGCTAGTAGATGGAAAATAGAGATGCTTTCTTGCCTTCAAAAGAAAAGCTGAAGAATAATAAGCTACTCTTGAGTCTGTGTCATCTAAAAGTTCTCTGCAAGTTGACAAAACCAGTGCTTAGACCCTTCACATACCCCAAAATCTAAGACATGATTAAAAAAAAAAAAAAACTTCATGGGGATGAGAGGTAAATGCGATCACCTGAAGAATTCTTCTCCACCGACTTCTTCAAAAGCAGAAGGGTCCACAGTGCATTTACCAATTAGAAGCAACAAAAGGGTAGCCCGAATGTCTGATCCTGCCCCAGGTAGGTTGCCCCTTCCTTTGCTTCCAACAGCAACACCCAATGCAATGTTGTCTGTTGCAGCACTAGCGAGTTGAATCAATGGCCAATAGAATAAAGCAGCAGGAACACGGGCAACTAATTGCATGGGAACAACAGCGCGTCCTTGCAGAAGTAATGCGGCCATTGAAGCTGTCCCATGATAGAAGTTACCATTATTGTTGGCTCTGCTATGAGCTTCTTCCATAGATTCCCCTCGGAGACAGTTCTCTTGTGGAGGAGCTGGTTCACCAAGATCCTTTTTCTTATTCTCACTGGCGACACGCACTCCCTCTCCAATTTGAGTGGAACTTGCCGGTGGAACTTTGAGACACACTTGAGAGAAAAGAATATCACACATCTATGTATTAACAGAGAAAAAAATACAGTTAGGATAATAAAATACCTATAATTTTTTTTAAAAGAAATTGCAGAAGTAGCTGTTAAACATGTTAACAACTTAAAGCATCCGATTCAAGTTAATCACTTGGTGCTACTCAAACAACTAAAGCCAAACAGTATCTCTGACCAGAAGTAACTCTGATAAATTTTCATGAGTTGAGCAGGCTCAGCAAGAATCAGTCTCACCATGCCAACATCCTTTTCTTACTAGCTAATCAAAAACTTTGCGGTGGACTATATAATTAATTCTTACTAACTAATCAAAAGCATTGCAACGGACTATATAATTAAAAGCTTGAAAAGATGATATATTTAAAAAGCTTTCACTTAAACTGCCATATAAGATTTAGGCCCAAACAAAAAACAAAAAGCACTACATCAACTAAGAGCTGCTTCTTTGTGCATGCTGCTCTGCCTTATGATTAGAGTTGTTACAAGCTTATCTAGTGACGAAGAGAATGAATATATATGTTTTGGCTGAGGAATACGCAATATCTAGCTTTGCATGACAGTAAAATAGATACAGAACATATCTAATTTTCCACATATTTTTCAGAAATATCACTAGTTAAACAAGAAACTACCAATCACGTCGACAATATAACAGCAAATGCAACAGGATCAATAGCTGGGTTTATCAGTGTTTGCCCCATCATATGTGGCAGTTCTTAATATCAGCTGCATATTATTAGATCCCACGGCATTCTAATCACATGTATCACCCAAGTGCAAATCGGAACATTAATAGCACTTAGAAGGCCCAATGAAGCACGAGAATAATGATCTTTCAGTAACGTATTGAAAGTGTACTCTTGACCGATTCTTGTAGAGTAATGTTTTCCCTTGCATATGTCACATTTCAAGGTTCAGAAACCACAGTCAGCTAGGATAGGTTCTGCAAGCAACATACCTTTAAAATATTCATGCGGTCAGTTTCATTTATCTGGAAAACCAGTAATAAAGCACTGCTCATGATGTCTATTACTGCATTTGCCTTCTTAAGACGGCTGTCATCAAAAGAGTGATCAGGACCACTGCTGTTAAACTGCTGCATTTCCTTCTCATCCAGCAAAAATTTGCAACGCATAAGAAGCCTCTCCAGAACAAACAGGAAACCCCATCTAATACTGTTGTGCTTTGATTTCAAAAGCCCACACAAAAGCCATACAGACAAAGGGATATCTGAAGCAACAGAATAATCAGAAGCTCCGGCATAAGTGATTCTCTGCTGCAACGTTTTTATATTTGACCATATACTAGCATCCTTTTCCTCATTAATTTCTGCTATAAGCAAATCTCCTAACCATATGTAACCATTTCGACGGCATGAAGTTCTTTCCGAATGAAGGAGTGAATGTAATGTGGACCAATGGAGATTTACGTCTTTGCCGATACCATTTCGTAAGGATGTTTCTCCAATTTTCTCGAGAACCTTGAAGGACTTTGTGATAGGTACCATATGAGAAAACTCCTTGTCTAAGTGACTAAATGAACTCACTAACACATCAAATCTCTCGGTTATGTATTCCAAGAGCTGCAAAACAAAAACAATATCCCGGATTTAGAGCTAAGAGTAAGTAACATCATCATTAGCGGCCAAACTTGTTAGCAAAAGCTGAAGTGTCATCCAAGGGATGCAAGACTTCACGTGTATAAATTAGGAGGAACCGTTCTGAAAAGATGGAGAAAAAGAAACTGGAACAAAAAAAACACTACTCCCCCTCAAGCAATAGGCAAAG